CATTAAGTTGAGAATGTAATAGTCCAATCATGCACAATCTGTCACTATTTTCTTATCCTTGTTCTTTGTAACCGGAGGATCATTGAGATGTTTCTCTAATTTAAAAATTCTGTAGGACTATGACAATATGCATGGCAAGAACAATTCTTCCCTAGATTTAACTTATTATATATATTGTAAAAAAATCCTACATTTTAGAGAAGTTCAGAAATATTGGAATTAGATGCCTATAATGAAAGTAATAAAGTATACATAGTATTAGAGCAACATAGTATTAGAGCGATACACATAATTCTTTCAGTTGAACATAGCCCTACAGGACAATTTCCTGGCTTTGAAAAATGAGTAGACTATAGTTATTCAAAATGTATCCTCAGTTTGACTGAAACTCCTCACCACATTAGGGAACCAATAATTTTACTCTGTTCAATATCACAGACTTTAGAAATAACAAAGTCATTGACACTCTTCAATTTCTCTCTATTCCCTCATAATTGTGAGAGAAATTTATAAGTTCTGGCATAGTGGTATTTCACATTATTAATAAAGTTCTGCCAAAATTGATCATTTCTTCAAAGAAAAGAATGCAATATTAGAAAAGTAGAGAAAAATAAAAAGTAGAATAACTGCTATCACTGTTTCCAGAAGAGAGAGAAGTCAACATTCTCTGAATTCTCAGTTTATCAGAGTATAAGACAGAACTGCCATATATCTCAAATTTAACACTGAGAATTCCTGAGTTATAGAAACTTTATTTAAAAAAACGATGTGGGATTAATATGCAAAAATTATTTATATTTATATTATGTAATTTGTTGTTTTTATTATTTAGAGAGTCGTATATGAGAGTTGTCATAATGTTTTTTAAAACCCAATGTTGTCTCCATTGTTATTAGACTCAGGTGTAAGTTGTTATTTTAATTATGTACTTTTTATGTTTACATACACCTTGATGCACTGATATAAATACACAATCTTAAGGACAAACAGGCAATCTATCAGTGTTTCCCTAAGTGCTTAGAGGTGATGAGAGGTGTGTGTCTGAGGACAAGGGAAATAGCTGGGTCCTTGGAATACTGTGAGTTGAAAAGTATCAATCTTTTGGTTTTTACACCACCCAGAGCAAGGAAGCAATTATGTAAACTTAAGTACATAAAAGTCCTGTTGCCACCTTAAAGTTTTATCATCTTAGAAAACTCTACTGGCCCTCCCTGTTCTTCCTAATACCGTGATTGACATTTCTGATTATGGTGATCTGGATAGCTTTAAGAAGGACAATATTTCAGTCGTTATTTTATTGAAAAGCCTTACCACATGCTTTACCTCTTCAAGACTAATTATTTTAGGCTTCTTACACATGCTAATGGGATTGACACTTTTGCGTGGTCTACAAATTAAAATATTGAAGGCTCTACTTTTTCTGCATTCTTAGAGTCCCTTTCCCATTTTTCACATAGAGGTACTTCTATTTAAAGTTGTACTGCGTCTAAAGGGGGCCTACCAAAATGTAAAAATGTGTGGAGTTTATAGTTTATTCCTTTAGCATCACAGAAATTTCATATTCCCAATACACAGTTTCAGTCAAACCACAGAATTTGTCCGGCTACTGGTGCTGTTTCCTACTCTTCTTACATCCCAAAGCCAGTCCACAAGTATCTTAAGGCCCTGCTGTATGTCACACACTATTCTAGGTGCAGAGAGCAAAGCAAACAAAAATCTCAGCCTCTCAAGCTTATATTAATAGAAGTTTAAAATAGCCCCGGCCACCCCTCATGGGAAAGGGCACAGGAAAACTCAGTACCAAGTACAAACACTGCCAATCTATAATGACAGACAGCAGATTGGAAGGGACAGACAACTGGGTGTTTTAGGAAAAGTGAAGGACCTGCCGCTCTGATTTCGGGTTGATTAATAGTGGCACAGGACCCATACACATCGCACTGGATCTCTTCCTCGTGGGCCTTCTCTTTCCCATCGTCTGTACTGCATCTTTCTTATCTTCTCTGCCTCCAAACACTGGAGGCCCTGGGCCTTTTTTCTTCTATACTTATATTCGTGCTGGCTGGTTTCATTTAGACCCATGATGTTTAGAATTAAATGTATGTTTACAATGCCCAAGTGTATAGCTCTGGCTTAGCTCTCTTACCTGCACTGAAGACTTTTTGTTGTTGTTGTTGTTGAGACGGAGTCTCGCTCTGTCGCCCAGGCTGGAGTGCTGTGGCCGGATCTCAGCTCACTGCAAGCTCCACCTCCCGGGTTTACGCCATTCTCCTGCCTCAGCCTCCCAAGTAGCTGGGACTACAGGCGCCCGCCACCTCACCCGGCTAGTTTTTTGTATTTCTTAAGTAGAGACGGGGTTTCACTGTGTTAGCCAGGATGGTCTGGATCTCCTGACCTCGTGATCCGCCCGTCTCGGCCTCCCAAAGTGCTGGTATTACAGGCATGAGCCACCGCGCCCGGCCTTTTTTTTTTTTTTTTTTTTAATCAATTGCCTGTTCTACATCTTTACCCGAATTACTAATAGGCCCATCACACTTAATACGCGCAAAGCAAGGGTCAGGACCGCCCCCACCCCACCCACCGGCTGCATCCCTTTCCTCCCACAGTCTGCTTCTTCCTGTGTATACCATGCAATGATGCCGCCTTTCACCCAGTTACTTAGGCAGAAAACCTTAGAGTTATCCTTGACTGCTTTCCCGCTCACCTCACATTCAATCCATAAGTAAATCCTTCAAATATATGTTCTTAAGTTCTTCACCACTGATATCCTATTCTGAATTCACCATCATCAGTGAACTGATTCCCTTCCTGCAGTAGGTCCCTAATTGTCTTCCGCTCTTGCTCTTCCAGAATTTCCCACATAGGGAATTCTTTGAAAATAGAAATCATATCATATCCCATCCTGCTCAGAACCTAAGAATGTCTTCCTACTGCACTGAACATCCAAGGGCTTGCTCTAACGAAGCTCTAGAACCTGACATCTCCCACCTCTCCGCCTCATACTCTGCTTCTTTCCTCTCGCTCTGACCACCTTAGCCACTTGACCCTCCTTGCTTGGAACACCAGGTTCATTTTTTGCCTCAGAGCCTTTGCATGTGCTCTTCCCTGTACCTGGATCTCAGCTCACTGCAAGCTCCACCTCCCGGGTTTACGCCATTCTCCTGCCTCAGCCTCCCAAGTAGCTGGGACTACAGGCGCCCGCCACCTCACCCGGCTAGTTTTTTGTATTTCTTAAGTAGAGACGGGGTTTCACTGTGTTAGCCAGGATGGTCT